TGTGTGTGTGTGTAGTTACAGTTATGTAGTGCACAAAAAGTATTTGTCCTTTATCGCAGTAAGGCAGCGACGTGGCTTTCAGCACGTAAGGACCCCGGGGGATACCTCGTAACACGTTCGAACACGGAGACTAACTTGTACAGTTATATCCGACAGCAAGCTTTTCCTCGTTGAGCGGCGTGGAGCTGATTTCTTTTGCTTAGTTTTCCCCTTCCCAGGGCATTCGTGCTTCGTAAGAGTTTATATTTGCGAAACGATACGGTGTCAAGCTAATTAGGATATTAATGTGTAACAAGGTTGCTCATACCAATTGGAAATCCTTACATCCATACCAATCAGCAAACAATTGGCTCTTTACACGGCACGTTTTTCTTTAACTGCGATGACCGAGATGCCCTCATAACGACAGACCTCAACCACCATTACGAAAGTCGTAGATATCTCGGAGGTCCCGAAATATTTCCTGGGATTGGACAGGGGTCGACAGTGCAGGGACTCAAGCAGGGACCAGAGTTGCTTACCTGTGAGCTGTGGCTAAGCAACACTGTAGTAAACCGTTCGCTTAAAGATCGATTGACGCAACGGTCCTTTGGACAAGACACATTTTGTATCGCGTGCATAAGCGTTAAGTAAGGAGCCCTTACCAGAGTTGATTGGGATTATTTCACTAGGACGTGGTGTTGGTACTGAATGGACGCGAAGTTTTCGCCATCTTATTCGATATCGAGATAGGGACCATCGTCAATAGTGACAGGCGGGGATCTATGGTGGAAGTGAAAAGCGTATCCGTAGCGCTGGGACGATAGTCAATCCTTCCATGTCTTTGAGGGGCTGACTAATACATGTGAATATTTACATGACCCTCCAATTACCAGAAGGCGGACAAACGCCACCGGACGACTGTTAGCGATATGTTCCCTATGAGCCCAGTTTGCGAATAACTTTAAACATTGGGAATTCGTTCAATTCCTCACGTATGACAGACCAAAACGTCTGCCTTTTCACGTTGAACTCGACCCACTTGGACATAACCAACTACGTCAGTGCTGACGCGTGAATGTGCAAAATCGAGATCGTCCACATGAACAGAACGAAACAACACGGTGTAGTCGAAAGTGACACGAAAAGTTGTTACTAGGAGTAAAACCTTTCACCATCGAGAGAAAAATGGAAAATGCAAGAGACGGGCTTCTCTACCTAAAACTAAAGAATTTCCGTACCTACCGCTTACAGAAAAATCGACCATCTTCGGACTTGATCCCAATTTCGGCCTCTCTGCTCTGCAGACTGGTCGAGCTTGTGAATTGGATGGAAACGCTTGAGTCCAGTGCAGCTTCGCCAGACTTTCCGAGATGATTCAGCTGTGTCCTGCCTTAGCTGCTACCGTCGAGGCCCACGTTACCAATGAGCTCTGGTCTCTCCGTGAATGTGGCATGGTTTTCTCCGATGAAGGTGCGATTGACTTAATTGATGATGCTACACAATTCCGTATTTGAAAACCGGTGTTACGGGTGATTTCCAACGGACGCAGATGGCGTTTTCAGGTGTCTAGCAAGATTAAAAGGTTCGAGGTCGCAGCGTCGCGAGTGAACATGAAACGGCTCAAATCCTTCAATCTAGCAAGGCGTCAAGCGACTGTATAACAAATTTCTCCCCAGGGCTGATTGCACCTGCACTGAAGGTGGTTGTTTGAAGTCGCATGTTCCATACATGGAAGCCTTCGGCGATCTTCTTTCTCTACAATACGCTCAGAACTAATCTTCTGTCGGAAAACATGTCACTGACCGCACCTAGACAACATCTATCTGTGTTTCTGCTTCAGTTCCGTCTCGTGCCTTAGGTCGGGTATTGTAATGTATCTAAAACTGATAGAAACCAAGCCCCTTTCTTATCCACACTAATGAGCTGTCTCAACTCTCTCTGCCCAAATTGTTTGATTATTCTCGGTCAGACTGACCTCGATACACGGTCAAACAAGGGCTGCATTTGTTGAAAGTTTTGATGGATTCAAAGGTTGATTGATGTTGTGTACAGTGGAACGATACTGTGCGTCGCACAGTTCGGCTCGGGTAGTTTCTGTCAATGTCATTCGACTCACCGTATTCCTGTATTAAAACGCTCTCAAACTCTCTTGTGCGATGCAGTGTAGAACGGAAAGTGTTCATTAATCCAAAACAATGTTCTTCTGCTTCCTACTCCTGTGCTACGTGTTCTAGAACTCTGGAATACTCTAGGGTAGTTTTGGAATATTCAGTGACAATCACTCTGAGGCAAGTTGACCTTATGTATAATCTGTGATTGTGTGCACCAGCAGCTCTTATCTTCAGAACTCCCCCTCAATTTGCTGTTCCTGCACTTTGTTGCTCACAACACTGCTCTTCACGAGTGCAGCAAACTGAGGAGACGGAAGAGGCTTCGTCAGCTAGTCAGCCAACTGTAGATTGGAAATCACATGTTCGACCTTGATAGTCTGCTTCGGAACGCGATCACGGATGAAATGCACACGAAGATCGATGTGCTTGGCCCGTGGAGTGTATCCACTGTTGGTTGCCATACTTTATCGCTGCCTTGTTGTCCACCAGCACCTTGGTAGGGCCATTGAGTCTCATGGTCATCTCCTTCAGGAACTGTCGAGCCCACAGAATCTCTTGAACTGTGATGGCAACTGCCATATATTCGGCTTCGCCTGAGGACAGCGCGACTTTCGTTTGTTTCTTGGACTTGAACACGACTGGTCCACCACACATCTGAACCAGCACTCCCGTCTGCGCCAGGTAATCAATCTGACGCCTAGCATCGTGATCGCCGATGCTGCGCTGGACTGACATGGTGGTCGTTGTCTCTTGCGTCACCATGACATCCTCCCCAGCCTGGAGAGACATGTCATCTTGGTCCGACTGCGGAACCAAAGTACCGTCATAGCTCTCAGGAACTAAAGAAGTCTTTGTTCCCTGTTTGACTTGATCTTCATAAGTGGAAAGTAGATGTGGTGAAGTGACAGTTGGCTTCTGGGAACAAGGGGCTGATTGATGAGAAGTGACCCGATCCAGTTCTGAGACTCGTGGTCGACAACGGCGCGTCAGTGATTACGTCATAATCCGCGAGGATTACGTAATTATCGGAGTGGATCGACATGGTGCAATCATTTCGACACGCGAGATACCTCTAAGGATCCGATCTAATGTTGACACATCAACTGATTTGTACCCATGGTAAGTACCACGCGACCAGGCTACAGAGGGGATAGAAAGGACAGCTATAGGATGGGCAGAAGGTATTAGACCGCGAGGACTTAAAGGAATAACATAGTGGAATTTGCATCATCAGGAACAAGTGTCTTCGGTTCAAGATTAGAAGCTGTAGCAGGAAGTATTGGCCCATACAATAATCAAGTTAATTCTACCAAAAACACGTGTCAGTTGCCGGAGTTTGCAGCTTGGCCG